CTCTTTCCCATCTCCCCACCTACAGCCCTCTCACCTCAGTGTAAGGAAAAACTCCACGTCCAATTGCTCAGACAAAAAAAGGGCGAAGTAAGTAAACTATGCCTGCTCCATAACCCTCACTCCCTGCCTTCAGTACATTAGGACATCTGCTTTGTTCTATCTTCAGATTGTAACCAGAACAAACCACTTCTCACCATCTCCACTGCTAGCATTTTGATCTGAGCCCCTTCACTGCTGGCCTAGATTATTCTAATAGCTTCCAAACTAGTCTCCCTGCATCTGCTCTTATTCTTTTACAGTCTATTCTCAACACAAAGGCCAAATGACTCCTATTAAAGCAGACCATGCCACTCCTCTGCTCAAAATCCCACCACAGCGTCCCATCTCAAGTAGAGCAGACACCAGCCCTTACAGTGGCCTAAAGGGTCCCACAGGATCTAGCCCTGTTGCACTCTCCCCCTTGGGCACATTACTCCAGCACAAGGGCCTCCCAACTGTTCCTCAGACGTGGCAGGCATGCTTCCGCCTCGGGAATTCCGCACTGACTGTTCCCTCTGCCTGTAACGATCTTCTTCCAGATTTCAACATGGCTCCACTTCCTTACCTCCTTCCTATCACCTTATCATGAGGCCCATCTTAACCCAATTTAAAACTGCAACCCTATCCCTAACCCTAGTAACCCTCTATTCTACTTTTTTTTCCATGCAGACTGTTACCTTCTAACAATCTAAAGTGTTTACTTATTTATAATGCCTATGGTTTGTCGTCTGCCCCCCTACTAGAAAAAGTACTATGAAGGAGGGATCTTTCTTTTTCTCTTTCACCAACGTACAGCAGATACCTAGAACAGCGTAAACATTCGTTGAATTGAGTGAATAATATTGCTTGAAATATTTGTTGAATGGAGTGAATAATCCAAAATGCTATACAATAGTAATACTTTCAAGGCTTAAAAACACAGTTACTTGCCATCAAAGATATTCAGCAATCACTAGCCACTTCACTCATGTCCTCAGCCCAGAATGTGGTGATTTGTAGCAGCAGTGATCGGCAATAGTCCCACTCACAGAAAACAGCCATTTTACATGGTTCAGCACTGGCTCATTGACAGTGTTTACTCACCAGCTGCAAAAAGGAGGCAATTCTGTAAAGAAGACTCTCGATTTTGATGCTTTCTATCTCCAGTGGACACGGCCCTGTGAAGTCAGCCATGGAGTACTGGCCAAGAGAAAGGAGGGCCTCTGTGCAGTGCTTGAGGGTCATTTCATAGTCCTGTCTCTTAAGTGATTCACACGCTTGTTCACATGACTTCTCAGCTCTTCTGTCTTCCATGACTCAGGGACAAAAATCCTAAAGACAGGGAGAAAGAACAAGAAAAGGTTTTAAAAAGTTACTAATTATCAATTCTAGCCCCATTCCTAACTCAACTGGCCCAACTAGCTATCTGAATAGTTACTCTCAAGCAGCCTTTTGATCAAGGTCAGAGCTGAGTAGCAACTACTGATGCTACAAACTCTATGCTTCTCCTTTCTATTTTATGAAGTCTTCACTAAAATCCAAGCAAAATATCAACCGTAAGTCAGGATCATGCCAACAATACATCAAATTTATAAATGAAACATGATGCTGAATATTACAAAGTGTAATAAGCCATGAAGGCGTCTCTTTTTTTTTTTTAAACCAGAAGGTGCAAAAATGATTCCTATCCCAGCCTCCTATTTTTGGTCTTATAATTCTGTAACTGAGACTGCAGAGAATCAAAGTCCATACCATGCAGGATTTTTCCCACCAGTACAAAACACTGGCTCAAGGGCAAGTTCGAACTGGGTATTAATTCAGGTCAGCAAACATTTCCTGAGGCAAGGCCCTGTGTTAGCAGCACTGAACTCAATGAGGAAGCATGTCATCACTCCTTTCGAGAAACTCAGATTCTAGCAAGACAGGCAAAGCACAAGTGAAAAATAACAAGAAATACCTTCCATCTGCCGAAAGGCACGAGCTGGCCTCAAAAGAAGAACACAAGTTCACTGTGCAGAGATGATAGGGAGAGCACAGGGGAGTTTTTCAGAGAGAATATGCACAAGAAACCACCACGGCAAGAGAAAGCACATGATACACTCCAGGTGTGTCAGAGAAGGATGGAAAGGAGCTAAGAATGCCCTCCAATGCCACAAGAAGTGAGGGCTTTATTCCATAGCAATGGAGCATGATGAGAGGTGTTTAAATAAAGAAGGAACCTATCGGGCAGTCCAGTGGTTGGGACTCCACGCTTCCATGGCGGAAATGGACGGGGGGAGGGTTTGATCCCTGGTCGGGGAACTAAGATCCCGCAGGCGGCATGGTGCGGTCAAAAAAAGAAAAAAGGAACCTATCATGTAGAAGTCCTGTGAACAACTGGTGAGAAGCAGGCATTGCCATTAATAACAGACCACTAAGCAATCCAAGTAATAGAGATTGAGAATTCAAGCGCAGCCTCTCCTGAGCTATACCACTCATAATGCAGGGAGCAGAAAACCTGGGCAAAGACCTAAAATCCTTTGACCTGACAGTCACAACACTGCTTCGGAGGATCCCCCTTGCTGACCTCTCATCACCAGCTCTGCAGGGATGGAGACCGCCCTTCTTGCCTGTTCCCACCCTCGCTCACTCTCCCACTTTCTACCTTTACCAAATGGCCCCAAGGTACAGGTCTCCTCCACCTTTCCAAAGCTCGATTTATGCCACTTCGCTTTTAAGAAGGACCCACGTTAGTGCCTGTTTTCTTAACCAAAAGAAATCCAAAGAGGATATCCACCTCTACAAAGAAGGGGGGAAAGTGAAAACAGTGTTCGGCGTGTGTTTTGCAGCAGCCCTTACAGAGGCAATTCGCACTGTGAGCTGCAAACGCGGGTGCAAGGGGCACCGCCCAGCTCCTTCCCGGGAATCACACTCAGCACCTCAGCATCAAGCCGCCATAGCTCTGAACTGTCACTGGACTTCTGTGCTTTGGCTCAATTTGTTTAGTGCATCCGTTAGCAAGATGTGTCCTGTGGTCACCGCTTCTTCGCTTTACGCCGTTTCGGCTTATGGAAGGTTTCCTGGGAATGCTCTCTGCTTTCAGTCATTGGGGGAAACCCATACTTACTGTCCTCCCGCCTCCCTCCAGCCTGCACATCCACTCTCGGCCTGGCCTTTCCAGCTCTGAAAAGACAACCTGGCTCTGCCCTCTACCGCCTATATACTGCAGTGAAAGATGAGGAGAGAAGCTGACAGGCAGGCAAAAGGCAGCAGCAGTGAGTGAGGCCTGATGACAGACATCGGAAGA